CACAGCCCTGCCTTGGCCCGACCGTCACCCTGCCCGGCCCAGGTTCCCGCAACCAGCCTCCTCCCTCTTCTCCCGGCCCCTAGTCCTGCCCCGCAAACCCGACCCCGTCTCTCCCCTCCATGGACCCATCCGGGGCTCCCTGGAGCCCACAGCGGAAAGCTCAGCCTCCTCTCTCGCCTCTTATGCTCCAGCCCCAAGCACTTGTTTGGTGCCATCTCCGCTCACCTTTGCCAAGATGGGCCGCTCCCGCCCTGTTCTCCCTGCCCTGGTTGCCGGTCCCGCCTCCCTCTCTCCAGGCGGCCACCCTCTTCTCCTCCCTGAAACAGTTCCTGACTTGGTGTCTGTCTCTGGTCAGCACCACCGCCACCCCTCACCTGTCCACCGTCCTGGTCTCCCTGCCCTGGCGTCCAATCTCAGCCGCTTCTCCACCCCCAGGGTGACATCCACACTCCCCGGCCTAGCCGCCGAGCCTCCACCTCCAAGCCTCATCTGCCCCCGAGATCCTCCCTACCTCCTGCTCGGTCCTCCCCACCTCTTCCCTGTTGCTGCGGCCTGACCACCGTTCCCACTCTGAATCCCTCCGTGCTCCCGCTGAAGGCTGCCACGGCTCTGGACCCCTCCCCTCCTCTCGTGTGCAGGGCTGTGCTGCTGTTGGGTCTCCCCTCTCCCCTGCAGGATCCATTCCTGCTCTCTATTGGACCATCCACTTGGGCTCATCCATTCTTTTTTTTTTTAATGTTTTTTTTTAAATTTATTTCTAGGAGAGAGAGAGAGAGAGATAGAGACAGCGTGAACAGGGGAGGGTCAGAGAGAGAGGGAGTGACAGACTCTGAAACAGGCTCCAGGCTCTGAGCTGGCAGTCAGTACAGAGCCCGACGCAGGGCTCGAACCCACGAACCGCGAGATCATGACCTAAGCGAAAGTCGGACGCCTAACCGACTAAGCCACCCAGGCGCCCCGGGCTCATCCATTCTTAAGAGAGAAAAAAAAAAAAAAGCAGCTCCCTCTCCCCATTTCTCCAACTCCCTTTCAGAACCGAAATACTTCGAAACACTTGCCAACATCTGCTGCCTCTTCCTCACTTCCCGGCTTACTCTCCGCTATTCTCCGGGCTGACTCCCACCGCCACCATGCCTCCGAAACTGACCCCCGTCAAGGCCAGCACCAACATCTGTGGAGCCGAGTCCAACGGGTGCCGCTCGGTGCTCGCCGCAGCAGCAGCTGACCCAGGGCACAGCCCCCCACCTTCTAGAAGCGCGCTCTGCTCTCATCTTTTCCTGACCTTCCTTCCACTTCATGGACCACTTTTCAGCTTCTTCCTCTTCGTTTCAGAACATCGGAATTCCTCAAGGTTCTGGCTCCTTCTCTCCTTACAAGACCTCTTCCATTCCGAGGGTGTTCTATTCCTCTCACTGGCTGACCATGCCGGAGCTGCTCTCAGAGCCGCAGACTAGACCATCTATCTACTCAACACCACCCTTGGATAGCGGAGTAAAACCCAAACCAGCTCTGCAATGACTTATGAAGCCCTACCTGGGCTGGCCCCTGTCCTAAACTCCTCTTGTATCCGTCTCCCTGCTAGTCTGCTAAAGTTTCAGCCACGCCAGTCTTTCATTTCCTACCCCAGGGCCTTTGCACACGTTGCTGTGCCCACCTGGAACACTCCTTCGCGATTCTTCTCGACTTCAATGCCTTCTCCTCGACTTCAGTGCCTTCTCCTCATTAAGGCCTTCCCTGGCCACAGTAGCCTCCAGCCCCTGATCCCCCACTTCACACCCTGTTGGGGTTTTCCCCAAAGCCCTCACCACCACTTCTAAGTATTTTATTATTTCTGGTGTTTTTACCCAACGTCTGATTCTCCTGCTAAATGACAAGCTATAAAAGGGCAGGGCCACACGTGGCTCATTCACTGCTACATCCCCAGAGCCTAGCAGAGTCCTTAGCACATAGCAGGGGCTCAATAAACACGTTGAATTAATGAATGAACGGCTGCCCCCACATTTTACTCTTTCCCAAGATCCTATGTCATACTATTCTTGGGATTTCCCCCACCTTTACTCCCAGAGCCTCCCACGCAGCCCTTTTCTTCCGGCAACCCCCAATCTCCCGTCTCCTCGCCTTCCCACCTAACGATCCGATTCCCCACCCGTACAATCATCCCCTACTCTACTGGGACAGTGTTCCCCAGGCCGCACTTGGTGCCACCCGCCCTAGCCCTCCCCACTGGGTAGCACCATCCCTCCCGAGCCCCCTGTCACTACTTGGCAGCGCCCTCTTCAGGTCCCACCATAGCTCACCCGTCTCAAGGACCTCACGTTTGGAAGTGCCCTCGTTCCCGTCCCCCTCCCGCCTCCCACTGGGTAGCGCCCCCTCCAGTCTCCCCATTTAGTAGCACCCGCTCCGAACGTCACTTCGAGGTATCACCCCTACTGTCAGAGCCCCCTCTGCCGCCCCCGGGGAGCGCCATCCTGCCTCCCCACGCCCGGTCACTTGGTAGTGCCTGCCCCGCGCCCAGGCTGCCGCTCCGCGTTGCCATGGCTCCGCGCGGGCCGGGCACCCCTCGCCCCGGGCCGCCCTCCACCCCACCCTGGCCCCCTGCGGCGCGGGCGCACCTTTGAAGTAGTCGTTGGCCTGCGTCTTGAGCTCCTCCGCCCGCTTCAGAGCGCCGTCGGCCGGGGGCTCGTCCCGGGGGGGCTCAGCACACTCAGTCCGCTCGCCCTCCGCCATCGCCATGCCGCAAAGCGACCCCCACCCTGGCAACGGCTGCCAGCGGCGCCCGGCCGAATCGTCGCGAAGGAGTGCCGAGTTGCCGCTGCCGCTGCTGCACAAGTGTCGTAAAGCGCGGGCCCCCGAAGGCGCCCTCCGCGCGCCTGCGCAGGGCCCTTTTCGCCGTAGAGCGCGCGGAGGACAAGGTGACCAGAGGGCCCCCGGACAGCGCCCTTCTTCGGATGAGCCATTGGGGGGGGCGGGGAGGAAGGGGGAGCGCGGGGCGGGGTGGGGGTGTGGGGAGGTCCGGCGTGGCCCCCGCGCCCGGAGTTACCGTGTTCCGAGGCCGCAGAAGTTCTGGGGGGTTTAGGGTGGGATTCCCCCTCCGTCTCCTCGGGTTGGTGGGTGTGGCCGCCAGGCAGCCCCGAGCCCAGCGCGGAACCTGAGCCTGGAGGCTGGCCCCGCTGCCAACGATTTGTGTGACCTTGAGCAGATCGGGGCAGTTGCCCCCCCACCCCCCGAAAAATGCGTGGTTTCTCAAACCAAGGGAATAAAGTTTCAACCTTGAGGGCAGTGTTCCTAGCTGTTAACTGAAAGCGCCCTGGGTGCCCTAGTCCCGAGCAAGACCCAGAAGTTTGGTTACGGTACGCCGTCTCTCTTCCTCATCCTCATCCTCAATTCCTCAGCCTTCCAAGGTGCCTCAGGGCCCGGAGGAAAGAGCCTACATTTCTGATGACCTAGGAAACGTCTCCAGATGCCACTCCCACCCCTACCCCCACCGCCCCCAACTGTACACCCTTGCAAGCCATCCTTTCCAAGCCCTCAGGGGCTACCCATGTGGATCTATGGCTCTAAATCCCTTTCGGGCCTTACTGCGGCTCCCCTTCTGGAAACGCAAGCTAGCCCACTCCCCAGCCTCCTTGTCTTGGCAGCCTGACCCCCATAACCTCCTGTCACAGCCAACAGTGAGCCTAGAAGGTGGATACTGGTATCAGCTCCATTTACCGCTGAGGACATTGACACTTGTAGAGGTCGTCAGACTTGCCCAAGGTCATCCAGTGAGAGCGGCAGAGCCAGAACTTTGGCTTGTCCCACCTTAATTCCTGCGCGCTTGGGTCCCACTCAACTCTATGTTCCGTAGCTCACCTTGTGGGTTACATTTTTGAGATTTTTAGGGGTGTGTGTGGGAAGGCTGCTGTAGTGGGTTTGGATCCTGGATCCCAGTCCAGCTCAGCCCTTCCCTGCTGTGTGACCTTGACAAGTGACCCTCCTCTCTGAACCTCAGTTTCATCCTCCATAAAACAGGGACAATAACCATGCCTGTTGTGTACAAGTAGAGGAAAGTTCGAGAGGCTCTTATGAGTAAGGTGTTTGGCTGGGGGCCCAACACAGAGTACTTTTCTTATCTGCTCCATTGTAAATACCCAGAGTGGGACTGGGTACGCAGAGCTGGGAGGAAAGCTCCCGGAGGGGCTCTCCCTGCAGGGCAGGCAGGGAAGACTTCCTGGAAGAGGGGAAGCCTGAACCAAGACCTAAAATACGAGTAGGAGATAACCAAGTGAGAAGAAGGCATTTAAGGTGAGGGGCCAACAAATGCAAGGCTTGAAGGTGTTTTTTCTTTGAAAAGATTTCTAGATGATGGGGGAGGTGCCTGCCTGGCTCAGGCAGTAGAGCATGTGACTCTTTAATCTCAGGGCTGTGAGTTCAAGCCCCGGGTTGGGTGGAAAGATTACTTAAAAATAAAATTTAATTTTTACCAAAAGATTCCTACGTGGGAAAGGAGTTACAAGGTGATCTATAGAGAGGGGACGGAACAGGCACGCCCACCTGGACATGAATCTACAGACACGGAATCCCTCTGTCACACACACACACACACACACACACACACACACACACATACATGCTCAAGTACAGAGCACTGTGTGATGCAGGCCGATCTCAGTATATGGAATGACAGTGGCAAAACAGTCCCGTGCATGTGAGCATAATTGCAACACCACAAAACCTCCCGCACTCAGGAACGCAGAAACCCCGTGTAACCAGAAGCCCGTAAAGCAGAGTCCTTTCACTCCAACGCTAACACATACAGCTAGAAGGAATCACAGCCCCTCCCCCCAGCGGGTTCACAGAATTGTCATAGACACATACATAGAGTTACAGCATCACCAGACATGCAATGTTATGGACCCGCCTAGGAACACAGAGTCACACACACAGACTCACGGTGATATACACGGCCAGTATACCCACACACCCGGAAGCGACCCCATAGATGAATCCACGTGCAGAGCTCTGGTGCCTACCAAGGCAAAGTCTTTATGGCGGTATACAGATTAGTGGGTTTCAGAGCCAGAGTGGCTGGGCCATTCCCTTCCCCTCCCCCAAGCCAGTCCAGTTCCCTCCATCGATGGCCGGGGTTACCTCCTGAGGGAAAGAGGGACTGGAGCCTTCTCCCCCCGTAGCACCAATCTGGACAGGCCATCCCCTGACAAAACAGAGAAGTGCCTTCCAAAATGGGGGTGAACCGAGCTGAGAGAGGGAGGCCTTTTGGTGTGGGAGACCAAGAGTAGCACCATCGTAGAAATGGGGTCAGGAGTAAGGGGGATACACAGGTAGTGGCAGAGTACTGAGGAGTCCCAGCCTCTCCCCACCCGTGATATGCAGATAGGGCTGTGCGCGTGTCCGTGCGGCTAGGGAAGTCTCCTGGATTGTAAGGAACCCCCAGGTCCCCCGGGTACCTGGGGTGAAGTAAAGGGAAGCACGTCTCAGGAGAGCGGGCGGCGGGGTAGTAGTGGTTCTAGGGCAGGGAAACTAGGGATGTGAGGTCAAGAATGGAGAGGCTTAAGCATGAAGCAGAGGAACCTGGGTTGGGAAGACTTAAGACAGCAGGAATCGGGGCAAGTTGAGTAGGGCAGGAAGCCCAGAATCAAGAGGGTATGGTCTGGAATCAGAAAGTCCAAGGTCATTAGATTCAGAACCAGAGGAATCCCCAGGGTGGTGTCCAGATTCTAGAATCAGAGGCACTTGGAGGCTGAGTTCTAGAACCAAACGAATTTTGATCTGAAGTCAGAGATCACTGGAGGCTGCGAGGCCTCGAACCAGAGGGATCTACAGACTACAAAGAGTGGAATTAGGAAAAGTCTGAGGACTGAGCTCTAGAACCAGAGAGGTTTTGGAGGCAAGATGTAGAATCAGGAGCTGGGGGCTGTAGGGTCTAGAACCAGAAATTTTTATAAGTCAAGATCTAGAATTAGATGTTTGGAGGCTAAGTTCTGGATCTAAGATAATTTGGAGTCAAGATCTGGAGAGGGAATTGGAGATTGTGAGGTCTAGAACCTGGGGAACTGAGAGGGTGCAGTCTGGAATCAGAAGACATTTGAAGCCAAGTTCAAGAATCAGGAGAAATGAGATCATCATATCTGGAATCAGAGGGCCCTGGGAATTGCAAGGTCTAAAGGTTTTATAGCCTCGAACCGTGAATGGTGGAGGTCATTAGGTCTAGAGCAAATGAACTGGGGCATGCCATTCAATCTGGAAGTACTACAATGGTTATAAGCTCAAGCCATAAAGCTCATTTTACTTCTTTTTGATTGGGAAAGCAAGTCTTGAGTGTAGAAAGTTGAAAGGGAAGGAGCTGGGCATCATGAAGCATCATGTTTTGAAAATTTAAGAAGTCTGGATTTGGACCCAAACATATTACAGATCAGGAAGACTAGAACCAATATGAAGTTTAGGCTGTGGCGTCCAGAATCAGAGGCAGTCATGGGTTGTAAGACCTGTAACCAGCAGGAGTTACAGCATGTGACCTCTGGTACAAGGGGGAGACATTTACAAGGAGTGGTCTAGAACCAGAGGAGAAGTCAATGTGAGGTCTAGAACCAGAGGAGCCGGTAAGGTTCTAGGCTCTGGAGCCAGAGGGACTTGGAGGTTGTGAGGCCTAGAACAAGGCAGCCGTGGAGGAGACCGTGAAGGACAAACCTGGCGCTGGAGGTTGTGAGGTCCAGAACAAGAAAGAGCTAGACGTTGTGAGGTCTGGAGTCAGAGGGGTTTGGAGCATGTGAGGTCTAAGACTGCTGGGGGCTGGACAGTCTAGAACCAGAGAAGGTCAGGAACAGAGTGGTCTAGAACCGGAGAGATCTGGAAGTTGTAGGATCTGGAAGCAGAGGAAGTTGGAGGCTGGCTGCCCCTGGAAACGGGAAGCCTGTGAACGAAGCCAGTGCCCAGAGGAGACTGGGGGCCGCAGAAGCCCCTATGGAGGGGCAGGCAGAGCGGGGTGGCCACTTGGGAGGCTAAGGGGATTGATCTGAAGTTGCTAGGGGTGCAGTCTGCCCCAGAGGGCCCCCCCAAAAAAAACACCTGAAGAAGGGGGGTGGGAATCAGAGTCCTGCATTCTTATGGACCCCGGGCAATTCATAGCGATCAAAAACCCATCGTGAAAACAACAGACATGGATGGAAAGAAATGTGACTGTGGTTACTACCCATACTCCCCAGAGCCCAGAAACACAGACCTGAACCCCCACCTCCCCGACCCCTAATTACCCAAAATCAAGCCAGGAGAGTGGGAGAAAGGGATGAGGTAACCAGTACAGAGAACCCCAAGGGAAGTCCTGAGAGAAGGAGGAAGAGGGGGCCAGGGACCCCCTCCCAGAGGTCACTGAGCTGAGACCACCCCCGAAAGCCCCCAGACGTGGGGGGCAGAGGGGTGAGGGCTGAGGTAGGCCCGAGGTGGGCGGGGGCCGCTGAAAGGAGAGGGAGGGAGCCCCTCTCCTGGGGCCCCCATCCTGTGCTTTGGCTGCCGGCGTGGAGTGTGGTTGAGGTCCTTTGGGGAGTGGAGGGGCGCAGGGAAGAGGGCCCGGCGGAGCCCGCTCAGTTGGCCTGGGCCGGGCCTGCCGCTGGGTGGAAGTGGCTCCTGGGCTCCGCGGTGTCCTCATCCGGGTAGAGAGAGAGCGGCGGGGGTCCCAGGCCTGTGGGGGAAGATGGAGGATCAGCCAGCGGGGAATTACCTCCCAGACCCATTTCTGCCCCTCCTGATGGTGAAAAGCGTGGGTGGGGAGGCAGGCATGCCCGGGTTCACATAGCAGCAAGCTCTTGGCCCAGTTCTGTCCTCTGAACCTCAAGGGCCCAGGATGCTTAAGGCAGTAGTTAGTAGCTGGGCCACGGGCGCCGGGGTGGTTCAGTCGGTTAAATGCCCGGCTTCAAATCAGGTCACGATCTCACGGTTTGTGAGTTCAAACCCTGAGTTGGGCTCTCTGCTCTCAACATAGAGCCGGCTTCAGATCCTCTGTACCCCTCTCTCTGTTCCCCTCCCCTGCTCATGCTTTCTCTCAAAAATAAAGAAGCATTAAAAAAAAAAAAAAAAGGCTGGAGCCAGATGCTGCCTGAGTTACAACCTAGGCTCTGCTCTTTACTTGCTGTGCGACCCCAAGGCGGTGACGTCACCTCTCTGTGCCTTGGCTACCTCATATGTAAAATGAGCTAACAGTACTTCCTTTCCGGGGCTGTTGTGGGGAAGTAAATGAGTCAATCCACGTGAAGTGCTCGGGACAAAACTAGTAACTTGGTGAGCGGCCAGTGAGCTGTTGTTCCCTAGGAAACGGGGGTCCTTCTGTCTACCTCCTGTGGGAGAATTCACCCACTCAGAAAATATTTGTTGAGCTCCTGGTATGTGCCAGGCACCGGGCACACAGCAGTTAACCGGATAGACGAACCTCCCAGCCCTGACACTGCGGTGAGAGGTATCAGTTGGGTCATGTACACAAGGCTCAGCCCAAAGAGTGGTTCAGAGTAGGTGCCAGGCAAATGCTGGCTCTTCGTTTACAAACATGCACTGAGGCCCTGCTCTGTGCCCGGCCACTGCCCTGCCTCACACAGACGGTAGAGTATGGCAACCACAAGACAAGCCTGGCCCCTGCCCTCCCACGGCTCACACACCCATGGAGAGGACAGCCAAAAATCAAACAATGACATGAACACTTGCATAAATATGGGCTGTGATGCGTGTTGTGAGCCATGAACTTAGGAAGTTAGGGAGGGCTTCACAGAAGGGGTAATACTTGATCTGAGATCAAAAGGATGCAATAAATAAGCAAAGAATAGAAAGAAAAGTGTTCTGGGCAGAAAGATCGGCATATGCAAAGGCCCTGAGGCTCTCTCCTCTAGCAAGATTACTTCAAAGTCCTTACTGATGCCCTACAGAGTCCCCACTGCAATCAGCCCCCCACCTCTCTCCCCTCCTCTCTGCTTCAGCCCTATGGCCTTGTTTTCCCCAACTAAGACAGATGCACTCCTACCTCGGGACCTTTGGATATGCTGTTCCCTCTGCCTGGAGTGCTCGTCCCCTGGAAATGGTCACAGTTCACTCCCTCACTTCCTGAGGTCTTTGCTCAAACATCACCTTCTCAATGAGACCACCCTTAACCGTACTACTTAAAATCAAAATCCCACCGGGGCGCCTGGGTGGCTCAGTCGGTTGAGCGTCCAACTTTGGCTCAGGTAATGATCTCACGATTTGTGGGTTTAAGCCCCGCGTCAGGATCTGTGCTGACAGCTCAGAGCCCGGAGCCTGTTTCAGATTCTGTGTCTCCCTCTCTCTCTGACCCTCCCCTGCTCACGCTGTCTCTCTCTCTCTCTCTCTCTCTCTCTCTCTCTGAAATAAATGAAACATTTAAAAAATCAAATCAAATCAAATCAAAATCCCACCACCCCAGGTTTCCTTTTCCTTCGCATATATTGTTTTCTCCGGAAGCGCTTCTGTTCCTCTCTCGCGCTCTTAATCGTATGTGTTTTTTTATTCTGGACTGTTCCCTCCGCCAGCATGGCAGCCCTACGACGGCAGGGATTTCTCTCTTGTACAGTCATGTCTCCAGCCCCTAGGGCAGTGCCTGGCATGTACTGTGTGCTCCATAAATAAGTGTTACGTGTAAGAAGGACAGAAGGAACCAAAAGACAGTCACTGTGGCCGAAACAAGATGTGAAGCCGAGCACGGTGTGAGATGAGGCACCGGGCAGACCCCATGGGACTGGAGTACAAGGTTGAGGAGCTTGGTCTTTCTTAGAAGGGCAGTAGGGAGCCATGGATGAGTCTGGAGCAGAGGGAGGTCGGGGGCAGATTCGTGCTTTGGAAAGATCTCCTAGCTAATGCCTGGATGTTTGTTTGTTTTGGTTTTAAGTTTATTTATTTATTTTGAGAGAGAGAGAGAGTGAGCGAGTGTGTGCACAAGCCGGGGAGGGGCAGAGAGGAGGAGAGACAGAACCCCAGCAAGCTACATGCTGTCAGCGCAGAGCCTGATTCAGGGCTCGAACCCACAAACTGTGAGATCATGACCTGGGGCGAGATTAAGAATCAGACGGTTCACAGGGGCGCTTAGTCGGTTAAGCGTCCGACTTTCGCTTAGGTTATGGTCTCGCAGTTCGTGGGTTCGAGCCCCACGTCGGGCTCTGTGCTGACTGCCAGCTCAGAGCCTGGAGCCTGTTTCAGAGTCTGTGACTCCCTCTCTCTCTGACCCTCCCCTGCTCACGCTGTCTCTCTCTCTCCTAGAAATAAAAAAAAAAAAAAAAGAATCAGACGGTTCACCCACTGCGCCCCCCAGGCACCCCTGCCTGGACGTTCCGAGAGGAGCTGTGGCTCCGGACAGTTATGCTGGAAGGTGAGGTCAGTAGCCCGAACAGGCACGGTAGCCAGGCTCGCCGTGGGGAGGGGCTGTGGGACCAGTGTCGCGCCAGCACAGACCTTTCTCGAGCGTCTGCTGCCAGCCGGGACTTGTGCCAACCTTCCCGGGCTGCCCCTCTGAGGCCCTGGCAACCTCTCCTTCAGGTAACAACTACTGTAACAGATCCTACCTGGTGGAGGGGTGAGTACTGAGGCTCCAGAAGCAGAAACTGCTTTCCGCAGCGGCGCAGCGGGGGATGACCAAGGGGGACGGGCCGCAGAGTGTGAGCAGACACAGGCTTCGGGAGCTCTAGCTTGAGGCTGGGCTCGGCCTCCACCCCAGGCGGCAGCTTTGGCAAGCCCCTCGCTCGCTCGCTCGCTCGAGCCTCTCTTCCCCCCCCCCCCCCCCCCCCCGGTGCCGCTGAGAGCAGGGAAGGGCTGTCTCTGTCTCTACCAAGGTCAGAGCCAGGCACTGACAGCTCCCCACCCTCACCCCTGCCACCTTCTGGACTGGCCACCCCTCTCTCAACCATGGGGGGTGCGTCGTAGGAGGGAAAGGGACCCAGGTCCTCTGTATACCCAGGGTGCTACTCACGGAGGGGCTCATTCAGCTCCAGGAGGTGGGTGCTGGGGTCCTGCTGGCTCCCCGGGGCGGGCCCTCCTGTCAGAAGGAAACTCTGCAGGACAGAGACAAAGCCGCCGCCGCCGCCACCGTCGTCGTCAATGCCCCAGGAGGCAGGATGGGGGGGGGGGTGGCTAGGAGCTCTAGGGGCCCCGCAATGGCTTATGGGCCGTGTGACTTTGGGTTCAGCCAACGTCCTAGCCTGATCTCCTCCGGGTGCCCCTCCGGAGCCTCGGTCCCCCCTTCCTCCGCGCCCCAGCGGGCCGGCCTGGGCATGTGGACTCCATCAGCGTGCGGCCTTGCTCTGTGTATTCCTGTGGGTTCACCTAACGGGAGATGCTGCCAGCGGGAGGGGGAAGCGGGGCGGTGTTTGATCCAGCTGCTTCCCTGCCGGCTTGTCCCGGCCTGGCCCTGGCCCTCCATGGAAGGTGTCTACCCCTACCTGCTGTCTCTGGGATCTGGCGACCCGCGCCCTGCCCTGTGCCTTCAGGCTACACGCACGGTGCCGGCCCCAGGGCGCTGCGCCCCCTCCCGCTGCTTCCCTATGTTTCGCCCACCCCTCGGCCAGTAGTCTCGCTTTTAAATGCTCCTCAACACCCCCATCAGAGTGTGCTGCTTCCTGCCCAGACTCTGAGTGACGCGGTTGCTTGACCTCTGGTGGGTAAGTGTGGATACCACTACTACTACTACTACTACTAATGACAACAACATCTCAAGAGGGGTCACAAGGGGTAAGTTATGTAATCATGCAGAAGGCATTTAGTGCAGCGTCTGCCCCGTGGTAGGCACTCGATAAATATCAGCTGTTGAGACCAGCCACCACACCTCTGGTGTTCACCTGCTCGTGCAAGCGGCACTTTTGTGGGCATCAGAGAGCCATGGAGGGTCCTGGAGGGAGGCTCTGTGGAAGCGGTGCAGGCTGGGCAGTGTTGTGGAAAGGGCGTCCCGGTTGCCATCGTGCAGAAAGGATGGCAGGGGTGAGATGGAAGCAGGGAGACGAGGAAAGAAGGGCGGAAGGGGGGAGGCGGGGGGCAGGGGGTGCTGCTTTCGTTTGGTTGTTTATATCATGTTCGTTGACAGGCACTAAGGATCAGCTAAGGTCTTAATTTCATTTGCTTCTCACGGCAGCCCTGCGGGATGTCACCATCCCCCTTCCCAGAGGAGGAAACTGAGGTTCAGAGTGGTCACCCTACCTGCCCAAGGCCTCACGGTCATTAGGTGGCCGACCTGGGACTTGAACTCAAGTCTGTCTGACTCTAGGGTCTGGACTCTTAATGCTATGCTAATAATCCAAGGCCGAGAGCTGTTCTAGGTCTGCGAGGGAGGCCCGGGGGAGTGGAGGAGGGTCCTGCACCCACCAAGTTTTGTCATTTCTCCCCTTTACCCTGCTTAATTTTTCTTCTTAGAACTTACCACCAACTTACATAAATTTGCATGGCCTCACATGGACGACTGACTTTCCATCTGACCTTCAGCCAGCCCTTGCCCCTCTCTGGTTTTCCCACCCATACATAAAACAGTAGGTTTAAGCCTGCTGGGTTCCAAGGGCCAGAGAGTCCCATGAATCCCCCAACATACCAGGCTGAGGGGAGGCAGCAGGAAGTTTTCGGGTTCTGGGCGTGAGGACCGTTTGGGGGGTTTCACTCCCAGCAGCTCCACCCCCTCGGCCTCGGCCTCTGAGCTCTGAGCCAGGGTCCTGGAGAAAAACAGGTAAGAAATGGAACACAACAAACCTGAGCAAGTGTGGGCATCGCCGGGAGGAGGTGATGAGCATTCATTCATTCCCCCAAGTGCTTGTTCATTCCTTTACTCCTACACTCACCATCTATCTGTCCACCCATCTGATCATCCATGTACCCACCCATCAACCTACCCATCCATCCATTTATCCATCTACCCACCCATCCTTCCATCCACCCATCCACCCATGTACCCACCCATCCATCCACCTACCCATCTATTATCCATTGATCCATCCATCCATCCAAACATCCATTCATCCATCTATCCAGCCAGCCAGCCACCCATGCACCCACCCACCCATCTGTCCAGCTATCCATCCATCCATCCATCTATCCATCCACCCACCCACCCATCCATCCAGCTGTCTATCCGTCTATCCATCCATCCATCCATCCACCTACTATATTCATTCATTCCCTTCCTCCCTCATTCAGTATGTCTTTATTAGGCACTCACTATACATCCAGCACCAAGCTGAGAGCCTTGGGAAACACTGAGATGTAGCCATAAAACCTCAGAAGGATAGTAAAGGGACCATTCTGGATACTAAATGGGCACATGTCTACAACGTGGAGTGCAAAACCTTGAGTATTAGTAATTAAATGTCTCTGGAAGGGGGACACGGACCCTCTGAAATTATATGCACAACTGTGCATCTGTATGTGTGCGAATGTTCTTGGGAAAGAGTCCGTAGCTTTCAACAGATCCTCAAAGGTGTTAGGAAACTTAGTTCTAGACAGTTGCTTGGACACTGTTGCAATGTCCCCTTAACTGTGACAAAAATTGTCACGAGGCCAGATATAAATATGTTCCAAAGGAGAGGGCCCTGGCGGCTGGTGGGAGTTGGATAAACAAGAAGAGCGGAGGGCCCCGCCTAGGCAGAGACAGAGGTGGGAACACGCATGGCGCGGGCTGGGGACACGGAGGCCTGGCACGAACAGAGGTCAGCAGGTCAGCAGGAGGAATGATGAAGGACGAGGCTGACACAGGAGGCAGGGACAAGATGGGGGCTCCCTCCCTTCATACCTTCCCTGCACTGTGGCTCACCTCTTCCGAGCCCCAGCCGCAGGGGACGATGCCAAAGGGTCCCCTCTGGAGGGGCTGGAGCAGCTCAGCCGGGGGTCACTCCCCCAGCGGGGCAGCAGGGAGGCCTCAGGGGGTGGGGGCGACAGGCCATGGAAGCTCCGTGCGCGGGGCCGGGGGACGGCGCCCCGCGGTCTGTGGAAGGCCCGGGGCAGCTGCTCGCTGGAGTTGAGCTGGAAGTCGTCATCCATGGAGATGTAGGGGGCCAGCATCTCCAAATCCAGAGCGTCGGCGTCCTGTGGGAGGCAGGAGGAGGTTAAGCGCAAGAGCCTTGGCCTCGGGCGGGCCTGGGCTACAGCCCCAGCTCCACCACATCTGAGCTGTGTGGCCGAGGCCAAGAGCCGAGGGGCGCCTGGGGGGCTCGGTGGGTGAAGCGTCCGACTTCAGCTCAGGTCATGATCTCACGGGCTCATGAGCACAGAGCCTGCTTCACATCCTCTGTCGCCTTCTCCCTCTGCCCCTCCCGCTGCTCAGGCTCTCTCTCTCTCAGAAAAGTCTGAGCTTCAGTTTCCTCATCTGTAAAATGGGTGTAAGGACTCTGGTAGCCAGTCACCAAAATGGCCCTCAAGCATCCCCACCCTTGGTATCCACGCCCTAGGTAATCCCCTACTACAGTGACGATGGTGGATCTGGGACCAGAGGATATTGAGGGGATGATGGAGTGTGACCCCCAATGTTAGATTATAAAGAAAAACTGTGGCTTCTGTTTTTGCTGCACACTCTCTGGTCACTTGCTCGAGGGGGGAGCCCCGTGGAGAGGCCCCCATGGTGAGAAACTGAGACCCCCTGCCTGCAGACAACTGAGTGATCTCGGAAGCGCATCTTCTAGTCCCTTCCAAGCCTTCAAGTGACTGACTGCAAGCCCGGATGACCTGTTGACTGCAAGACGTCTCATGACACCTCTCCCAGGAGAGAGTCCCAAGCAAAGTCACCCCGATATGTGGCTCCCAGGCCCCCTGGCCCCCGGAAGTCATGGCAGGTAATACACACTTGTTATTTTAAGCTTTAGGACAATTTGTTTCCCAGAAACAGATGATGGGATTTTGCTGCCATGATAAAATGACAAAAACCTCAAAGGCAGGGTGGCTGGGGCACAGGGCAGTGGGCGGGGCCTGGAAGGGGCATGAAAGGCCTGTGGGAGCCTAGACGCCTTGAACACACTGCTAGTGGAAACGTGAACACGAGAAGCCAGCCCGTGAAGGCATACAGGGAGGTGAGGGAAGTGTTACCAGAAGCCCGAGGAAAGGAGGCTTTTGTTTTGGGGCAGCTAACGGTTAGTACCAGTGTTGCCTGCAGTTTTCCGGTACAGAGAACACGTAAGTAGTGCGCCAGGCGATCTGGCGACAGGATCCCCAGCCAGAGTGGGGACTGGCTGCCTGATCTCTTGCCTCTTGAGCAAAGACAAGAGGAGAGAAGAGCTAAAAGGGAAATGTTAGACGTGAAGGAGCTGGGACTTGAAGGTCTGGAAGATTCTTTTTTTTTTTAAATTGTTTTATTTATTTCTAGGAGAGAGAGAGAGACAGCGTGAGCAGGGGAGGGTCAGAGAGAGAGGGAGTCACAGACTCTGAAATAGGCTCCAGGCTCTGAGCTGGCAGTCAGCACAGAGCCCGACGCGGGGCTCGAACCCACGAACCTCGAGATCATGACCTAAGCGAAAGTCAGACGCTTAACCGACTAAGCCAACCAGGCGCCCCGAAGGTCTGGAAGATTCTTAATCTCCCCTCGAAGCGAAAAAGGAACTTTACCCCAAAGGGGGCGTGGCCTCTGCCCGGGCTCCTTGGGATCTCCTGTGTGACCCGGTGATGGGCCCCTGGAGCCACACCTAACGGGACCCTGGAGCCACACCTAACGGCTTTTGCTGACAAGGTGACTCAGGCTGCGGGCTGGCTGTGCCCGAATGGCCAGCTGTGCGGTGAGAGGGTTGGGGCCCCGTGAGATCAGCCTGACCTCCAGGGGAAGCGCGTGTGCTGGGGAGGTCGAGATGGAGATCAAGGGCAACTACGTGGGCAATAATTCAGTCGTGTCCACACAGTGAAGATTCCAGAACCGCAGCTGGGATGGGCTTCCAGGAGTGGCGGTGGCCCCTGTGCGTCGGGGGGGGGAGGGGGTAAGCATCCCTGGGGTCGCGAGAGCTTTGCATTTGGGAACCTCCTCATCTCGGATTCCACCCTCTGCAGCTCTTCCTTTGCCTATAATATTCTTTTGCTATAATAAAACGATCACCCTGGGGCGCCTGGGTGGCTCAGTTGGTTAAGTGTCTGACTCCTGATTTTGATCTCACAGTTGCAGAGATGGAGCCCCACGTTGGGGTCCAAGCTGGTAGCAAACAGCCTGCTTGGGATTCTCTCCCTCCCTCCCCCTCCCCAGCTCATGCGCTTGTGCACGCGCTCACTCTCTCTCAAAATAAATAAGCTTAAAAAAAAATTCCTAGAAATCAACCTAAGTCCAGTGCTGACCTCAGTTCTACAGCCAGCTTTAGCAAATTATTGACACTGAGGGAGTCAGTGAGAATCTCTGAATTTGTGGGCAGCTGGTGTGAAGCGAGGGTGGCCCTGCGGCCTCCATGTCACAAGTCTTGGAAGACTTGGCAGACTGGAGGACTGCGACCTTCACCTTGCACTTGGCTGACCCAGGGAACTCCCCAGGTGGTGAAGGACACTAAAATTGAGAAATGGTTTCTGAGCCAAGGAGGGCATTCTCAGGAAGGGATGCTCTGAAGCTGAAGCCAGGGCGTGACCATAAAATTCTTTGATCAGGAAGATCAAAGGCGCTGCCTAGAATGTCCTTCGGGCAGATACACTGGAGCTTAAGGATGCGCTAACTGATCTTCTCAGACAACAGGGCTCCTATTAAACTTCCACACACTGTCACTCAGCATCTCAGCAAAACCCCAAGGTACAGAAGGGCTTATTGCAAAGAGATCTGCGGGTGTGACTTTTGTCTAATGCAGGGCACTAAAGATTATTATACAAACAGAAACACTGCCACCTTGGACTGGAAGGGACAGAGATAACGCTAAATGGAAAGAGACCTTTGGGCTACCAAAGTTCCCTAACAATTACCTTTTATGAAAAACGGAAGAGGATTCTAGAATAATGGAGAAAGCCGCTAAGGAAGTACAGTAAAACCTTGGATAGCGAGTAACTTGTCCTGTGAGTGTTTTACAAGACCTGTAAGCGTTTCTAATAAAATTTAACTTGATAAACGAGCGACGTCTTGCAGTACGAGTCGTACGTGACGGTGAACGTCACGTGATCGCAACTGAGCCAAGGGTTCTTGAGATTCGCTTTGATATGCGAGTACTCTGGATGACAAGCATGTTTTTGGAATGAGCTGTACTTGCAAACCAAGGTCTTACTGTAGTAGGAATGGGTTCTGGTCAAGGAACTTCCCATAGTTGCCCAACCGGATTTCAAAACTGCTGTGGACCAGTGACACCTGTGCTCTCTCCTCTTCCTTTTTTTTTTTTTAATTTTAAAAAATGTTTATTTTTGAGAGAGAGAGCGAGCGAACAAAGTGGAGGAGGGGAGGGAGAATCTGAAGCAGGGGCTCGAACCCGCAAACCACAAGATCATGACCTGAGCCAAAGTCCGACACTTAACTGACTGAGCCACCCAGGTGCCCCTCCTCTCCCTCTTTTTGACTAAGAGTTGCACGGCATTACTCTGTGCCTGTCCCACCACTGTGTGCGGGGTGTGTGGCTGGCACATCACCTGTCTCTTTAGTTCACAGGCCAACAGAGGGAGAGCTTTGCCACACCCAGACCCGATGTAGGTGATGAGATTCTGGATTTCGGGCTGATGCTGTCATGGGAAGACTTTGGGGGCACTTCGGAGGGGGTAGGTGTATTTTACATGAGGGAGAGACATGCATTGGTGGGATCCCCAACCATCCTTGCCTTTTGGTGTTCACCCTCACTACAGATGCCTTCTGCCTTATTCTAGGGTTGATCTATATGATCAATATAATTCGGTGAAGTGATGGGAGGTTGCTTCCATGATTAGGTTATAATCTTCTGTCTTGGGCTCACTCTTGTCATCTCTTGGATTCCTTGTCTTGGGGGAATCCAGCTGCCATGTTGTGGGGACACTCAGGCAGCCTATGCTGTAAGGAATTGAGGCCTCCAGCTAGAGCCAGTGAGGGGCTGATGCCTGCCAACGACTATGTGTGTGAGTTTGGAAGTGGGTCCTCTAGCCCCACGATTCCCCTCATGGAGAGCTTGACTTCAGCCTCATGAGAGACTCCACAAAAACCATCCAGCTAAGCTGCTCCCAGATTCATGAGTCTCAGAAATGGTGTGACATAATAAATGTTAGTTTTTAAGGGGCTCAGTTTGGGGTAGTCTGTTATGCAGCAATAGGTAACTAATATATCATGTCACTGTCATTTATCGAGCCACTCAATCAGTCATCCAAACATTATCCATCCATCTATCATCTATCTAAGGAACCAGTGGCTATCTAACTACCCAGCCAAACATCCATCCATCCATACATCCATCCATCCAAGTATCTGTCTAACCATCACCCATCCATCTATCCACCATCAACCACCTAATGAATACAGTGGTCCATCCATCTATCCATCCATCCATCCATCCATCCATCCATCCATCCATCCAAATAGTTGTTTACCCACCACCCATCCATCTACCCACCATCCTCCACCTAATGGATACAATGGCCTATCCATCCATGCACTCATCCGCTCAACAATTCCACCACCTTTCTCTAAGGCTCATATATGTCAGCCCCCAGAGCAAAGAGGTCAAGACTGCTCCTTCCATGCCAACCCTCACCTGAGCTATATCTAGATCTGTGTCCACAGTCTCAAGGTCTTTGCCAGAGGCCAAGAGCTTGTGTGTATTCTCCATGTCCATGAGTGGTTCATCTGGCAGATCGGCCTGTGGGAAGAAAGTAGACACTGAAGAAAATCTTGAGCCTAGAAAATGTTAACGGTAAGGTAGTCTGGACATTTGAGCTCAGAGGTAGAAGTGAAGGTCAAAAATCAGACAGCGGGGGACCCTCCCAATGACCAATGAGATGGCTACTTGTTACGATCCTAATTTTATGGATGAAAAAACTGAGGGCCTGCTTGTCCAGGGTAACACAGCTGGTAAGTGGCAGCTCCAGGATTTGAATCCAGGTTTGGGTAATTCAAGACATTAGACGTTCTTGACTCTTTGAGGTCAAAATTCAGAGAGCCTGGACGCTTAGTCACAAGTGAGGAGGGGGTCACCCCTGCCAGTCCCAAATATCCCAGGTTTTGGTCAGGTAACAGTTGAAGAATCTGGGATCTAGGTCTTAAAGAGCCCCCAAACCCCATCTCACCCCAGCCTTCCCACTGCACAGATGGAGAAACAGAGGCCCAGAGAATAGCAAGGATCCCAAGGGTTCATGTGAGAGGAACCACTTACCGGAAGAGGGCTTTGGGGGCACCGTGTGGCTGGGGGTGCATTGGGCGTGGCAGCTACTGAAGTCCCATCCAGGATAGGAGCCAGGAGGCGACGGAGGTCAGGGCTACAGTAGCGGCGGGGGTCAGCGGCCAGGGTGGCCTCGCTCAGGGCAGGGGGGTGCAGGAAGGCCAGGATCCGGGGACCAGAGGCATCTACAGCACACATCGGTGGGCAGGACACAGAATGGTCATTCGGACCTGAGGGGGAGGGCCCCCCATCCCCAAACCCCGGGGAGCCCTGTTGACATTTTCGACCACCAATCAGGGTGACGCTGTCCACAGTGCTGGGGACCTGAGTTCTGGAGAAGGCTTGCCAAGGTCTGTCTCTTCAGCTGCCAGATTGCGGTGAGACCCTTGAGGGTCCTGGAGAGGCCAGCGTGGGGGAGGGGGCACGCGGAGGGCTTGGGAGAGTAGCAACTGCCCAGCGAGGGGGAAACATTTTGATATTTAAGAATCAGTACTGCCGGACCAAGGCACGTGACTGACCCAGTTCTCCAGTGCCCCGGAACCATGATCAGTCACTCAGCTCTGGGGGGGGCTTTTGCATGTTAGAAGAAAAGACTAGCCCAGGGCCCTCAAGGAGGTTCTAAGGTCCCTGGAGGTCAGTTCTGAGCCAGAAAAGGAAAGGATATCAGTAACCCCATGCCACACCCAGGAGCTGCCAGCAACAGCTTGGAGAAGGTGATAGCCTTGAAAAGAAGCTTGTCGGGTGGGGGGAGAAGGAAGAGGTAGAAGGGAGCTGGATTGGGGAGGGTCAAGATTACTGAACGCGGAGGAGTGAGGTGGGAACAGGGAGCCAGCTGATGGGTGGGGGCCATGGGGAGCCACAGCAGGGTTCAGAGCAGAGGAGCCAGAAGACCGAAGCAGTCATCCCAGGGGCACAGACGAGGAAGGACAGAAGAGAGAAGAGCTTTCTGGGCAGAGGAGGGAACTGCCAGTGCAGAGGCCCTAAGCCACGAGAATCTAGCATATTCCATGAGCGCTAAGGAAGCTGGTACCGCTCAGAGTGTGAGTGAGAAGGGGAGGGAGGCGGGAGGCAGGTCACACAGAGCCCCGGGGGGCCTCACTATTAAGGCTCTCCCTCCAGCCTCCTGGGGCCACCACCCCTCCTGGTCCCAGCCCCGCCCCATACCAAGGCTGTCGCCAGCATCAGGGGCGTCCTTCTGGGAGGGGGTGCCCCGCTGAGCGGGTCTGCGGGAGTGTCGCTCGGTTTGCTCCAGGGACAGCACCACTCCGGTCTCTTCCACCCGGCTGGGGTACAAGGCGAAAAAAGGAAGTCAGGGAGGGTCATCGGCCTCAGCCCAGGCAGCCCGCTCAGATGGAGTCCCGTCATGGGGGCGGGGGGCAATCCCATGCAGGGACAGGGCAGCACTGTACAGAAAATAGTTTGCCACATTTACTTGTTTCTCTTAAAGATATGATTTTTGCGGAATGCTTTTTATTATAATAGCATTTAAAATAAAGTTATGTGTGTCTTCCCAAGCTCTCTCTGTGGAAGGAGACAGAAAAAACGGGCTGGCATTTAGCACAGCCTGGGGAGGGGAGGGGAGACAGGGATGGGGGCGGGGGGGGAAGGAGGGACAGAGAAGGGGAGCATGAAAAGGCATAAGAACAAAATATTCTCTTTATATTTACTTATAAGCATATTCTTATAAATGGATCGATGAAGTATATATACCTTACCAAATATGAAGAATTCAGAGGGGTACGTTTTAATGAATAAGATTTTATTTATGAAGCTTCTATTCATAGACATTTTTCATAGTCAAGGGAATGGGTTTATAAATATATTCTTATGTCCCCGCGCCTCCCTTCCCCCCAGGCTCTAGCTGCTGAGAAAACCCAAATGTTCGCTGAGCAAACTGGCTTCTGGAGAATTGGTCTGGGGGCTGAGAACCAGGCCCTTGTTTGCATAAAAATACCCAGGGGAGCAGGTGGGTGGCTCTCCCAGGAGCTGTTTGAGACACTATGACCCTTCCCCATCCTCACTGAACCCCCTTCTGGGCTGGAAACATCCCAATTTAGGCTGGACCAAAGCCACCCCAACCCCCTTTGAAAAAGCACGCACAGCCACACGTATACACACCCAGTACACACAAACACAAAGAGGAACACTCCTATACACCCAAGTGTATACACAGACAGGTGTGCATAATCCACTCTCGTGCTCACACGTGCATATCTGGCACACCTGCTCATTCCATAAACATTTCCTAGACAACTAGTGTTGCCTACTGGCTAAGAACAGTGGCTCTACAGCCTGTGGCCTGGGTTCAAATCCAGCGGTGCCACTTCCAAGCTGTGTGACCTTGAGCATGTGGCTGAACCTCTCTGTGCCTCATTTGCCTCCTCTGAAAAGAGGCAAGAATAATAATACCTCCTCCTCAGGTTGTTAGGAGGATTAAATGGGCTAATACACATAAAATGCAGAGAACTGTGCCTGGTACATGGTGAGCGCTATGTAAGGATTTGTGCTAATCGTTAATTGAACACCTACCACGTGCCAGGCGCTGTTCTAGGTGCTGAAGATTCATCAGGGCCCCATATAAATGAGTTGTATTTTTTTTTTAATGTTTTTTAATGTTTTTTTTTTATTATTATTTATTTCTAGGAGAGAGAGAGACAGTGTGGATAGGGGAGGGTCAGAGAGAGAGGGAGTCACAGACTGAAACAGGCTCCAGGCTCAGAGCTGGCAGTCAGCACAGAGCCCGACGCGGGGCTCGAACCCACGAACCGCGAGATCATGACCTGAGCGAAAGTCGGACGCTTAACCGACTAAGCCACCCGGGCGCCCCAATGAGTTGTATTTTTTAAATAAATTTTTTAAATGTTTATTTTGAGAGAGAGAGAGAGAGAGCAAACAGGAGGGGCAGGAGGCGGGGAGAGAGGGAATCCCAAGTAGGCTCTGCACTGCCAGCGCTGAACCTGGTGCAGGGCTCAAACTTAAAAACCGTGAGACCATGACATGAGTTGAAATCAAGATTTGGACACTTAACCGACTGAGCCACCCAGGCGCCTGATGAGTTGTATTTTTGTAAATTCTGTAAAGCAATTGCTTACTGCAGTGGAGGGAGGCTCAGGTCTGGAAGGGGAGGGGTTTTTATACAGCAAAACAGAAGTGCCTGCACACACACAGATAGCCACATAAGTGCACACCACACAATACACACCCAGAACAAGGCTGATTAGTACCACATGCTCCTTATGTCGCTGAGTAAACTCCTTTTCATTCCTCACCCATTTCTGCCAATAAAACTGAGCTTAGCTTAGAGTGCAGAAGATTAAAATCACAGGGCCTGGCCATAGAAAGGCAAATCTTCACAATGAATAGGAGTTTCCAGCAGAGAGGGGGGCAGGTCCCCCTCTCCTTTGCAGTAACAAATGGCCTGACCTCAAAGGTTCTGATTTGAAAAGGTGCTAGTTAAAGTGAGGGCATTCCATTCGGGGCGCCTGGGCGGCTCAGTCGGTTAGGCGGCTGACTTCGGCTCAGGTCATGATCTCACGGTTCATGGGTTGGAGCCCTGCGTCAGGCTCTGTGCTGACAGCTCAGAGCCTGGAGCCTGCTTCAGATTCTGTGTCTCCCTCTCTCTCTGCCCCTCCCCTGCTCATGCTGTCTCTCGCTCTCAGAAATAAATAAAACATTAAAAAAATAAAAAACAAAAAAATAAAGTGAGGGCATTCCAAAGATAATCAGTCTTGTATTCTTGTCCGGTGTAAAGACTTGTATGGGTACTTCTGTTTTCTACTAGAATCTGTCCTTGATCAAAAAGACATAGGAAGACTCCTGGCACTTTAGAAATTGATACCATGACCTGGAAGATCATCTTCAGAGAAAAGCTGTAATTCTCCCTGTCTTATGTGCTAATTTGCTGCCCTCATCACAATGTGGTCATGGCGGAAAACCTCTAAACGCTTAATGCCCTGGAGGAAAGCCTGTGATTTACCGCTGCACACGCACTAGCATAAAGCAAAACAAGACAAAACCGGACAGAACAAAATGCTGGCGGCCATGCAGACGAACCTTCACATTGCTGGTAGGAATGTAAAATGGCACAGCCTTCCCAGGAGATGAAGTTAAATGGACACTGACCATACGACCAGCCCATTCCACGCCTAGGTGTTTACCCAAGGGAAATGAAAACATGATCTTGCAAAATCTTGTATGAGAATATTTACAGTCGCTTTTTTCGTAATCACCCAAAATAGGAAACGGCCCAAATGTCCCCCAACTGGTGAGTGGATAAACAAACTCTAGTCTGTTCATATTCATACCATAGAGCACCACTCAGCGTGGAAAAGGAGCTACCGGGACGCCTGGGAGGCTCAGTTGATTGAGTATCTTGAGCGTCCGACTTCGGCTCAGGTCATGATCTCACGGTTCATGGGTTCGAGCCCCGTGTCAGGCTCTGTGCTGACAGCTCACAGCCTGGAGCCTGTTTCGGATTTTGTATCACCCTCTCTCTCTGCCCTCCCCGGCTCGCACTCTCTCTCTCTCTCAAAATAAATAAACGTTAAAAGCTTTTTTCACAAAAATGAGCTACTGACACATAAAATATAGATACATTTTAAATCTATGACGCTAATTGAAAAAAGCCTGACCCACAGGGCCACCTACTACAGGATTCCATGAGCATGACGTTCTGAAAAAGGCAAAATTCTAGAGTCAAGAGAACAGTCTGGTGGTTGCCAGGGACAGGGGTGGGGGACGCGGTGGGGTGGGGATTCACTATGACAGAATGTTTTGGGGCAATTTTCTAAAGCTTGATCGTGGAAGTGGTTACACAATCCCGTGCCTTTGTCAAAACTCCTAGAACTGGATACCAAAAAGAGTGAATTTATTATATTCAATTTTTAAAAATGTTTTTTTTAATGTTTGTTTATTTTTAAGAGAGAAAGAATGTGAGTGGGGGAGGGGCAAAGAGGGAGACACAGAATCTGAAGCAGGTTCAGGCTCTGAGCTGTCAGCATAGAGCCCGACACAGGGCTCGAACTCATGAACGGTGGGATCATAACCTGAGCCGAAGTCGGGCGCTTAATCGATTGAGCCACCCAGACGCCCCTATACTTCAATTTTAAAAAGCAAAAAAGTCCCCGTGATTCTGCTAGATTTACTTTAATTTGAATGGAGTCTTTTTCAATTTAAACGAACAGCAGGCGCACCCAAGCACACGTGTGTACACCCGCACATACCTGTGTGCACTCAGTCACACGTTCTGCATACGTACATGTGCGCACTCCCGCTTACAGACGTGTGCATGACAAGCACACACCCCTGTCCACACACATGCAGACCACACCCACACACACAGCCCCCCCTCCCCCCGCACTTACCTGATCAAGAAGTGGACGCAGACGATACTCTCAGACTGGGGACCCCGGCCCCCCGACACCACTGTGGCCTGAGTCTGGGTCCACAGGTAGCCACCGCTCCGGGCCAGGAAGCGATACTGCCCTGTTACTGCCTGGCCCTTGCTCAGCACTGGGGAGGGGGACGGGGAGGGGTCAGGGCCACAGAAAGGGCAAACGGGGAGAGGAGGCTCTGGGGGTGGGGTGGGGCGTGGGGCATGAGGGAGCCAGGGACGAGGACCCTTCTCGGGGCAGACGTGGGGAGCTGGGGGGCGGGTCTCACACTGCCGGGGAGTCTCACTTACGGGTGTGGACGCTCTGGCCGACAGCGTCCGAGTCCAGAGCGTGGATGTATTCATAGGCGGAGCAGCCGATCAGGTCATCGGGGCTGTAGCCGGCCACCTCCGCGATCCTGGGTGGGTGCAGGGGGCCTGGTCAGTAAGACTGGCCGAGGCGGGCGGAGGGTGGAGGATGGGGGCTGGGGGGCGCGGGGGAGCCAAGCCAGCCAGCCAGAGAGGGTTGTAATGAAGAGAAAGAAAAGGAGGTGTTGTGGGCTGAATAACGGCCCCTGGAGAGGTCCACCCCCTAATCCCCAGGCCCTGTGACTGAGGCCTCAGGTGGCAGAGGGGACTGTGCTGGGGTGGGTGGGCTGGGGGTGATTAAGTGAAGGATCTTGAGATGGGGAGCTTCCCCTGGAGGATCTGGGTGGGCCCAGGGTGGCAGCAGGGGCCCTCACAGAGGAATGATCTGTCCAGGACCGGTGCTGATGGAGGCGGACGGCGGGCCATGTGTTTCGAAGATGGAGAAAGGGGCCCCAAGCCAAGGAATGTAGGAAGGTTCCAGAAGTTTTTAAGGCAAGGAGCCTCCACAAGAAATGCGACCCTGGACTTTAGATCCATAAGGCTCATTTCAGACTTCTGAGCCCTGGGGTCGTGACTGTGTGTTTTGAGCCACTGATTGTTACAGCAGCTGGAAACCGATTTGCAGTGGGGTTGCGGCGGCAGGGATGAGGAAGAGTAAACAAAAGGAGGAGGGAAGAGAAAGGAAGAAAGAAAATCACAGAAAGAAAGAAAATCAATAAAGTAAAAAGGAATAATGCTCATAGTGCTTAAAAATAGACACTTATATGGGGCGCCTGGGTGGCTCAGCCGGTTGAGCGTCCAACTTCAGCTCAGGGCATGATCTCAGGGTTCGTGGGTTCGAGCCCCGCGTCGGGCTCTGTACTGACAGCTCAGAGCCTGGAGCCTGTTTCGGATTCTGTGTCTCCCTCTCTCTCTGCCCCTCCCCGGCTCACACTCTGTCTCTGTCTCTCAAAAATAAATAAATGTGGGGCGCCTGGGTGGCTTCGTCGGTTGAGCGTCCGACTTTCGCTTAGGTCATGATCTCGCGGTTCGTGGGTTCGAGCCCCACGTCGGGCTCTGTGCTGACTGCCAGCTCAGAGCCTGGAGCCTGTTTCAGAGTCTGTGACTCCCTCTCTCTCTGACCCTCCCCTGCTCACGCTGTCTCTCTCTCTCTCTCCTAGAAATAAATAAAACATTTAAAAATAAATAAATAAATAAATAAATGTAAAAAAAATAAATGAATGTTAAAATTTTTTTAATAAAAATAAATAGATATAAGATAAAATAAAACAGGGGTGCCTGAGTGGCCCAGTCAGTTAAGCAACTGGCTTTGGCTCATATCATGATCTCGGGGTTTGTGGAGTTCAAGCTCCACATCGGCTCTTTGCTGTCAGTGCAGACCCTGCTTTGGGTCCTCTGTTCCCCTCGCTCTCTGCCCCTCCCCCCTCTCAAAAATAAACATGAAAACAGGGAGCCTGGGTGGCTTAGTTGAGCATCCAACTTCGGCTCAGGTCATGATCTCGCGGTTCACGGGTTCGAGCCCCAAGTCGGGCTCTGTGCTGACAGCTAGTGCTGACAGCTTCGGGTTCTGTGTCTCCCTCTCTCTCTGACCTTCCCTTGCTCATGCTGTCTCTCTCAGAAATAAATTTTTAAAAAAAACATTAAAAAATTTTTTAAATAAATAAACACGAAAAAAATTTTTTTAGTAAAATAAAAATACACTTCTCTAGCACTCTGCACCAGGCAACACATTGGGTGCTCAGAACAAGTGCTCTAAGGAGGCTCTAAGGTCACTCCACGGGACAGATGAGCAGAGTGCAGCACGGAGACCTGACGGCCTCTGGCCAAGGGTACACAGCCAGGCTTTCAATGCAAGCTGTCTGAGCCCAGACTTGCCACTCCCAAGCAGGACTCCAGGGTGCTGGAAGGAAGGAAGATGCAGAAACAGGCAGGGATGAAGGGAGAGAAGGGCGGAGGGAAAAAGAGGAGAGAGAAAGGGAAGGATTTGGGAGGGCGGGTATTAATAGGGATACTTCGCTGAGCACTGCGTTCAGGTTGGGCACTGTGCAAACTGCTTTATGCACACGGACTCATTTAAGGAAAGTAACAGAAGGGCAGGGAGGGAGGCACGAAGACTCAAAGAGAGACCAGGAGAAAACCCAAGGCAAAAAGACCCACAGAGGATTCACAGCCAGCCACACAGAGACAGAAACAGATGGCATCAGCGACAGACGGAAATGGACCAGAGGGAGAAGGGGGGGCGGGCGTTAGGGGGATGGGCAAGAGCTAGGCATAAAGGAAGAAGAGGAGCTGGGCCAGGGGAGGGGGTGGGGGGCAGCGGGCTCCTGCGCACCTCTCATCACAGTAGGTGAACTTCATGTCCAGGCTGTGGCGGCTGAGGAAGGCCCCCTGGCCCAGTGGGGGCTCCAGGCTGCCGGGGTGGGGGATGGCTTCACAGATGAGCACCAGGCACTGCAGGGGGGGCTCCAAGCTGGGGCTCCCTGCTGGGGACGTCTGCACAGGGGGCTTGTAGGCCCTCATGTGGCCAGAGCAGTACAGCACCTAGTTGGGAAGGGGGTGGGGCGGGCAAACGGGATGAGGCACGTGGGCCTGGGGTTCCCCGCGGGCCTGGAAGGTTTCTCTCCACTGCCCCAGGGCCCGCCGGGAGCCGAGAACAAACCAGATTCTGAGACTCTGGGAGCTCCGAATCCAGCCCCTCGGGATCCCTGGACTCCAACACGCTGCGAGAACTTTAGGGCTCAGGCCCCGCCCCAGCAGCCCCTCCCACCCCAGGGCCCCCTCCCTCCTCCAGGCCGGGCCCTGCCCACCTTCCAGGTGGCCGCCTTGAGGTTGAGGGTGCGCCCCCTGCTGGTGAGGGTACTCTTCATGCGCAGGGAGAAACACCGCTCGGTGGGGGCCTCGGGCTTCTTTTTGGACAGGCCTGGGGACGGGCCGGGCCGCGGGGAAGGGGGTGAGCAGGTCACTGGGGCAGCTCAGGACAGAGCCCACTTCCCCACAGCACCCCAGCTACCAGTCTCCCCAGCCTCATTCCCACAGGAACCAGGGAGGGCCCCCAGGGGTAGAGAGTGCTCCTTCCAGATACCCCAGGGCCGGGCCGGGGCCCCTCTTCCCATTTTTCTGAGTCTGGAGAAAGGGCATGCGTGGAGGGAAAGCCCCGGCTTCTGTAACCAGGGGACGGAGGCCTCCAAGGAACTCACTCTGCCGGGGGGTCAGGGCGTCCTGAAGCTCCTCTTGGTCACAGGGGTGGATGAAATCAAAGATACTGTGTCCAATGAGCTCAAGCTGCCAGGGAGGGAAGCAGGAGGTGTCTGAAGGAAAAGCACTTTCACCAGCGCCTCTGACTCATCTCCTCTTTCCTGTCCTCACCGCCCTTCCCCTGATTCACGAGGCGGGATTGCTGTACATGCTCTCCATTCATTCACTCCCTCCCTCCCTCCCTCACTGAGCCACCACTTTTTCCGTGCCTGCTGTCTGCCAAGCCCTCTTCTAGATGGTAGGCAAAGCTGTGACCACACACAGGCACAATCCCGGCCTCTCGGAGTTTACCGGCTAGTAGGGGAGACAGCCAATAAGCAAACAAACATAACAACGCAGCTATAAAACACGATAGGAAGTAATACGGAGAAAATCAAGGTAAGGCAGTGAAACGGTGGGATGCCATCTTAGAGGCAGTAGTCTGGGCCCATGTCATTTAAACAGATTGTTGAACCAAGCCAGTGAGGTGGTCGTATGGCTCTCTCTGGAGTCTTCTGGAAAGAGGGAACCGCAAGTGCAAAGGCCCTGAGGTGAGACCCCGTTCAAATCCCACCTGTTTGGCAAGCCAAGGACTCAATGTGTTGTTTCAGTTCAGGCAATGAGCCCGGCACTGGCCGGAGGGGACTCCGACGGCGAGGGATCCACACCGCTCACAACCCAGTGGTGGTGTGGACCAGGGGAAGAGAGATGGCTCTCCTCTCTGACAGCCCCTCTCGTAGCTGGATTCAAATCCGGGCTCTGCCACTTCCTAGCTTCGGGGCCTTGGGACATTCACCTCTCTGAACCCCAAAGCTCAAGCTAACAATGGTACCAGGAGTGAGATAACAAAGCAGGACAAAGGAACAGAGTGCCAAGTACGGAGCCCGTTTACGTGAACCGGGAAAAACAACTGGTAACCCTCCCGCGGGACATGCTGCATGGATGAGCCAAAATCAGTTCCCCACCCGTATCTCCTGCCTTCCCGTCCCCAGATCCCTGCTCAGACCCCTCTTCTCTCACCAGGGGCCCCGCGCCCCTCCCTGCGGACCCTCAGCCTCTAATCCCAGCCTCCAGCTCCACCCCTGTGCACACCAAGAGGGAGCTTTCCAAAATCTAAGTCCTATTCCACCTCTCTCACAGCCTCTCCCCTGCTGAATATCCTTCTATGGCTCCCCCCAGTGCCCCGGCAATAAACCTAATTTGGACCTAAATTACCTAGCTCCGTTGACCTCTCAGGACTTTTTTCGCTCACCTTTCCCCTTGCACTCTGCACTGAGCCAGGATCCGCATCTCGATTTCCCCCAAATGCTCCATTTTATCTCACCTCTGGGCCTTTGCATATTCTGTTCCCTCAGCCACGCACCTTCCCAGTCTTCGCTGTTCCCGTCCGTTCCCCATACCTTCGGACTGGCTAAGTCCTCTGAGTTTCAGCTCAGATGTCTTCTTTTCCAGAAGCCCTTGATTCCCCGCTGAGGCTGGGTCAGGTAGCCCCCCACCCCACCCCCCGCCGCCTTCCCTGGCTCACACAGCCCCCTAGGCTGCCCCAGCCCAGCCCTGATCATCCTGTGTCTTCCGTCTGGTGACACGTCTGCCTCCTCTCTGTACGGTGAGCCCCGTAAAGGCAGGGCTAGGGCAGTCTCGGTCACCTCCGGATCCCGGCGTCACCTGCCCAGGGCCAGGCACGAAGCAGGCAGCTCCTCTCACCTGACTGAGGCCCAGGTGTTTGCTGACATTCTCCGACAGGTAAGCCATGTCTCCCTCGGCAGTGAGCACCATGACGAAGCCCTCCAGGGCCTTCAGGTAACAGGCATCCAGAGCTTCGCCCCCTGCTCCCACCTGGTTCCACTCCCCTGGTATCGGGGCCAGGGTGGATGGGGTGTCTCTAGTCAGCCATGGGTCCGCCCTGGCTAGCCTCCCTCTGCCTTCCCTCACTCAGAAGAATCTAGGTGCCCCCCGGTGGGCAAGAAACATATGCCAGCGCCTTGGAATCCCAAGGAAGAGGGCGGGGCCACCAAGGATTGTAACCCTAAGGGGGCGGGGCTTTCCAGGGGCACAGGATTCTAAGGCGGTGGGGGTCTCCCAAGGGAATAGAATTCTAAGGGGGTAGGCTTCCTACGAGGGCAGAATTCTAAAAAGACGGGATTCCCAGGAGATCAAAATTTAAGGGGCCAGGAGCTAGAGGGTGTCAGAATCCTAACGGGGCCGAGTCTCCCAGGGGTTCAGAATTCTGGGGACAGGACCTTCTAGATGGACAGAATTCTAAAGAAGCAAGGGTTCCCGGGTGACAGAATTCTAAGGGGGCAGTGCCTCCCAGAGAAATAAACTTCTGTGGGGCAGGGAAGTCTTGTGGGCAGAGCCTGCCAGAGGATGGCTGCCCGTTCCTCATAAATAAAGTCCTGAGGATTCCAAAGTGTGTGTGTGTGTGTGTGTGTGTGTGTGTGTGTGTGTGCGCGCGCGCGCGCGCCTCTTGCAGGGTAGAATTCCAACTGGGTGGGAATCCTAGGGGATGGCTTAGACTAAGCGGAGGGGCGATGGACCTTAAGGAGCTGGGGAGGAGACTCTCTCAAGCAGTCGTTAAAAATCGGGCAGCTAAGCCTCCCGGGGATATTTGTTGCAACGTCTCCCGAATCCTAAGGGCTGACGCACCTAAGGGAGTGAGCTGACCTCCTAGGGCTTAAGGAGTTCCAACTCGAAGGAGGTGGAGCTTCCCAGGGGCGCATTTCCCAAGGGGCGGGGCCTCACGCGCCACCGACCACGGAGAGGGCGGGGCCTCCCGGGGATGCGGCGGCCAGGGGGCGGGGCCTTGCCGAGGTGGGACTTCCCGGGGGCGGGGCTCACCTGCGGCGCAGAGGCGGTGCATGCGCAGGTAGCTGATGGTGAGGCGCATGATGGAAGCCTTGTCCAGGTGGGCGCTGACCCCGCGCGCGAAGGGCAGCGTGTGCGCCAGCTGGTACAGCACCTCGGTCTCCTGGCTGCGCCGGCTGCGGGCCGCATCCCGGGACTTCTCCTTGCGCAGCTCGGTGCTCGACCTGCGGGCATCGGCGGCGGTCACTGGCGGCGCCCCCGGAAGGGAGAGAGTCGGATGGGACATGCACGCGGGGCGCTGCCACACGGGGCCCGGGGCTCACGGAGGGCAGGGCCGCGACCGGGCAGGGCTCGCCGTGTGGCCCGGGCGAGCTCCCGGAGCTCTCCAGGGGCCGCGAGGGTTCTACTCCGGGGCAGCTCCCGGCCGCGGGTTTTATCTGTCCCCGCGCCAGCGCTTGCTGTCCCCAGCGCCTTGCTTCTCTCCGAGGCGTGCCTAGGGCCGCTGTCCCCTCCCTGACTTATCTGCTGTTTATTCCCCGGGCTTGGGACGCCTGGGGGACAGGGCGGCCTCCTGCTGGGAGGGGGCCGGCCGAGCTGGCCCCCAGCCAGGGAAGGGAGGGAACATGAAGTCAGCAGCCTCCAGGCCCCCTACCCTACAGCCTCCCAGAACCCCCTCTCCTGCCCTTTCCCCTTCTCAGCTGAGCTGAATCCTCTGAAGCTTAGAACACAGATCTCAAAGTCCACCCACCCACCCACCACGGGGGCCCTGCCGATGTGACAGCAATCCAACGCCAGTGCTCTGTGGAGCCAGCCGCTAACCACTCACCCCTGCCCTTTAATCCACTTCAAATCCCTGACTTCTGCATGTGGGGCTGCGGGGAAGACGCATGAGTGTTTTGTCAGAAATATCCACCACTGATCTAGCATTTACTGTCAGTGCCTGTGCAAGTAGGTAAAAGACATTAACCCACTCAGAGCTCAGACAACCCCAGCAAGGAGGCAGTAACGTTATCCCCATTGAACAGATGAGAAAACCGAGGCACAGTGCTTGCCCCTCAGGAGTGAAGCCAGGCTTGAACAATGGTGGGCCTGAACTCTTCAGTCTCAGTTCTGTGGCTCTGAATTTATCTCCAGGTTAGTGCTTCTCCCCATTACTGCCACTGTCTTAAATGTCCAAATCCAAACTCCGTGGCTTTTGAAAAAATATATAGAAAGAGTATATTATATATAGTATATATAATTTTCTTCCTCTCTGAATACACATGCGCGCACATATATATATTGATCTCACGAACGGTGAGATCATGATCTGAGTTGAAGTCAGACGCTTAACTGACTGAATCACCCAGAGGCCTCTATATATACAATTTTTTTAAAGTAGGCTAGGGCCAGTGCAGGGCTTGAACTCACGATCTTGAGATCAAGACCTGAGCTGAGATCAGGAGTCTGATGCTTAAGCGACTGAGCCACCCAGGTGCCCCTAATCTTCTCTGTACTTATAATATTGAAAAACCATTAATAAGCGGCTATAATTTGCTAAACACATATGTGTCTGGCACTGTTCGAAGTACTCTGCCTATGTGTACTCATTCAATTCCAGGAGGCACTTTAAACCTCCACGTCACAGAACAGAAACGGGGACTCTTACAGGGAAAGTCCTTTGCCCCAAAAGTCACAAAGCCAGTAACTGGCAGAGCCGGGATTTGAACTGAGGCAGTGACGTTCCAGTGCCTTCACGCTCCGACTCCTTCCTGGTGACCCAGCCCAGGAAAGCAGAACTAACTCTCGGAGGGGAGGCTGTCCCTTCCCAAACCCAGAGGCCACTCCTGGGGATGGCATCAACCTCGCGCCCAAGCGGGAGACCTGAAGCCCCACTCACAGGCCCGGATGGGGAGAGAGGAGGGGACTGTCCGTCAGGCTGCAGAGGGGAAAAAACTCCCTGCAGCCAGTGGGAGGCACAGAAGGGGGCAGGCTGGGTGGAGGGGTGGAGGCAGCCAGCAATCACCCCCTCCCCACCCATCCCCTCCCTCCCTGCTGGTGGGAAGCCGGGGCCTCCAGTCCCGCTCTGCCCAGAGGACATTCCGTCCTGTCCTGTTCTGTTCCAGCCCTGTTTGTCTTCCTGCCCAGAGGGTGGGGGTGGGCGGGCCTCCCTGAGCTAGGGGCCCAGACAGAGGGAAGCAGGCCTAGGAAGAGGAATGGGGGTGGGGCCGGCCCCCCACCTCCCGGGCAGCTGGGCTCTGTAATCCCGCCTGTGGCCGACTTCTCCCTGCATAGAAGGAGCCAGCTGGTGGCTGCAGTGGGACCCTCCTTCTAGTTCCCAGCTCCTGTCCTCCGGATGTTCCGACAGGAAGTGTGGGCCTCTCACTGGCTTCAGAGCCGAGAGTCTCTGGGCCTGGGTCTCCCGCCTTTCGTTAAACGGAGTAGGGACCTGTTTGGCCTTCCCTTAAACAGAGGAGGGGCTGGTCCCTCAGGTTCAGGACTCCGCTCCTTACTAGCTGTGCAACTTTGGAAGCTGTGCTTCCCCGAGCATCACGACACAACCTCACAGGGTTGTTTTAAAGATGAAACGAATTGCTAAACGGCAAGGACTTAGAACGGGGCCTGGCGGTCGGTGAGTGCCGGGAAAAGGCTGCTGTTATGCCTTCTTGGTCGACATCAGGAATGGAAGGCTTAGGGGCCTCTTGCACATCGGAGAGGCCTGTGGGGTAGGGTGTGTGTGTGCGTGTGTGTGTGTGATTACACACGTGACTCTTACACCAGCGCCTTGGGAAGTAGACTAAACAATCATGACAGTAATAATAATGATAGTTTTGCGGTAGCGAACCCCCCCAAAGGAGCTAGAGACCCCATTAGATCCTCTCATGGGAAGGAAAAGCGACCTCCGTTTTACAGGCCTGAAACTGAGGCTCTGAGCTGTGGCCTCCCCGGTCCAGGTAACCGGGCTGGCAATCTGCACCCTGCACCGAGTGCAACTATGTTGGGCACGTGTCTTTCCACCAGGCATCTACTTCTACCCAGAACACAGCCTGCCTTGAACACGGTTTATTGCACACCTAGGGGGTATCCTGCCCCAAAGACGGGGTCCCTCGCTGCCCATCTCGATGTAGTGCAGGGAAGGGGGGGTAAGACCCCCCATCTTCCAGGATATGTGACTGAGGCTCAGGGAGGCAGTCACTGACACAGGGCCACACATCCAGGAAGTGGATGAGCGGGGATCGGAACCTGACTGTGGGGCCTGTGCTCTTCGATGCCATGGCTTGGAGGGCATGTCCCCCCCCCCCCCCGCCGACCAGGGCCCCCCGCCCCGCCCCTCCTTGGCCCCGTGGCCTCCATCCCTTCCCAGTGTCCCACCTCTGCTGCCTCCGGATTTCCCCAGCGGGCCCCATGCCCAGCCCTGGTCCAGCCCCCTGGCACTCTGCCCGGCTCGGGACGTGCAGCTGGAACCCGGCCACCCTTCCTCTGTGTTCCAGCAGAGAACAGGGGGTGGGGCCAGGGCCTGGAGGCCCCAGGGTGAGGCCTGGGAATGGGGGCTGGGGCCCAGTGGCCCCCCCCACAACACAACCAAGAGAGGGAGAAGCCCACCTCTGAAGGACTTGCCGCCCGAGAGCAAAGGCATGGCGAAAGTGGGGAGACCCTGTACCCGCTGAGGGCTGCCCTTGGCCTTCCCTCTTCTGACACTGAGTTGGGGATCAGGGGCCTTGCAAAAAGTGAAGAGGCTCTAGGGGGGCTTTGGTTGTATCTGGCACCATGAGGACAGGGGCAGGGTTTGGGTTGGAGAAGGGACCCGGGGTGGGGGCAGTCAGGAGGAGCCTCTCTGCCTCTGCCTCTGCTCATTCCCAAGGAGGTGGTAATTCAGCGGGGTGCCTGTACCCAAAGTCCTGTCTTCTCCAGGAACCCCCTGATCTGGGGGACACGCGGGGCCCTTATACCCATCCGGAACTTCCCAAGAGCATCCCTTCCCGGGGTGGGATGGTAGTAAGCCTGAGCTGGAGGAAGGGAAGGGGGTGATGAGGAATGGGGGCCCACTCACCAACACCTAGGCCCCCTTTGGCCCAAGGGCCATCCTGGGGGTGCAGGAGGGGACGAGCGCGGCCAGGATCCGGGTGCGAGTTATGAGTGGGTGGCGCGCAGCACTGGGATGACACCACAGGAAAGGGTTGGCCTTGGTGAGGGGGGGGGAGCACCCCAGCTCAGCCAAGAGGGGCCCCCAACCAGCCAGGAGGGGGCGCTGGGAGGGGCTGGGCTGAGGCTGGGCCAGAAGGGGTGGGACGGAGTTCCCTGGCAGGCCCAGAGCCAGAGACTGGAATAGAACTTGGGGGGTGGGGGGGACGGCTTGGGGTGGGGGGGGTGGTAAAAAACACGGGGGTGTGGACAGATCCAATCAGACCTGTGAAGCCAGGGAGGAGGGGAGGGGGTGAGGCTTCCTGGAGGTTTCAGATTGGACAAGGAAGGGAGACCGAGGGCCTGCAAGATTTTCCGGGGTCCCGCGAAAACACGGCCAGATAGACCCCCCGCGGGCAGCGGACCCAGAGCTTGCGGCAGATCTGCACCTGCTGGGAGGTGAACACGGAAACCTACCCTCTGGCCCGGAGGACCCAGCTGAGCACTTCTTGCTTGCACAGAATCAGGCGCAGCACCCTCCATGGGGAGTCCCTAAATAAGGCAGTGCCACGGTCACGGGCACTGAGCAGGGGTGGAGGAGCGAGAAAGGGGCTCGGCTTTGGGAAGTGGGTCGGGCTGTTTCCTTGTTATTAAAAGGCCTGCCTCTACCTTTACCAAAAGGTCCCTGGGAAGGTTCCCAGAGAGCCTCTGAAGGGAGATCCCCCCTCCTGCTTATTTCTAGGGAACCCAAGGTTCCCAAGATTGCCAGGGAGCATCCAAGTACAGGGGGGGTCTCTCTTCTCTTGAACTCAGCATCTGACTTCCCATTCCGAGGGCCTCCCTATGTCTGTTTGGGAGTACCCCATATGCCCTAAGGTCCCAGGGACCCGGTTGCAAGGAACAACGTCAATTCTGGGAATTCGGAGGCTAGTAGGGTCGGTATATGGAGGGAGAATGCCTTTCGTAGAAGCCCGGGAACTGCTCGAACACAAGCACCCCCAATTCCGTGGGGACCCCGACCAGGTGGGAAAGGGAACCCGGGACAGCAAGAAAGTGGGGATCATGACCCCGAAGTCACTCCAGGCTAGAGGGGCGGGGCCGCCGGGGACTTGGGGAACCCCCTCGTCGCCCGCAGTCGGGTAGGGGGTAGGGTGCGGCGGGGATGTGCCTCCCGCCGCGCGTCCCGGGGCGTCCTTGGCGTGCTCCCGTGCATCCCCCACCGATTCAGGGGTCCCGGGAAGGAAAGCCCCCTGACTCCCACCATTCACGCCCCGAACCCCCGTACCTTGCGCGCTGCAGCCCCAGCGCCATGGCTCACCGTCGCAGCTCCGGAGCCCTTCGAGGCCCCTAGCCCCCTCCCCTGGGCCTGCGAGCCCCCTCCCCAGCTCCGCCCCCCGCCGCGCCGTTGGCTGCGCCATGCCCGGCCCGCGGCTCTGGTTGGACGACGCGTCTGTCACTTCCGAAAAAGAGGCGGGACCAGAGGCGAGGACCTAGAACTCCGGAGGAGGGGGGTATACCGCGGCACACACCGCCCCCCAGCCACACCCCTGGCCGCGGACTTCCTCGGCCGTGTTGCCCGCAGGGTCCGCGGCCGCGCCTCCCGGCCCAGCCTCTCTCGCCAAGTTCCCACACCAGCCGTCTCCGGAGTCCGCTCAGTTCGCTCCGACTCTTCCACCGCAACCCCCCAATCTCACCCCCGGCCCAGCCCCGTATTCCCCCCACCCGGGTTGGGCCCCTCAGACCACCGTCCCACCCACTCCAAGTCGCCCAGCTCTTCCCCTATGCACTGCGACTCCCCCGCCTCTCGCCACCCCCACTGCCAGCCCCACCCCAGCTCTCCAATCCCTCCCCCAGTGACCCCGCCGTTCCCTCTCCCTGCGCAGCCCCTCCGCACCCATCCCTGCACCCAGTATCCCCACCTCACCCCCACTCCTCCAGTCTGGCACCCCAGCCCCACCTCCTTGCCTCCCTAACTCCCTTTTCAAGTTCCCACTGTTGAATGATAAAAGTTTATGTCAAGTAAATACGTAAAACTCAACCACACCAACTTTTTAAAGAGCAGACAAATGGTATCTTTCTACTAGTGAAGTAAGAAGGGAAGGGTCCAAGGTCACCAAGGAGCGGCTAAAGCATTAGGATCGGATAGGGAACAGATTGTGTGTGTGTGTGTGTGTGTGTGTGTGTGTGTGTGTGTGTGTGTATTCCAGATGCAGCTTTGGGCAGGGAAAAGGATACTATAGCCAAAGTTTATACGGTTTGCCTTCCCTAGTGTCTAGTGGGGAACCACTTCCCTCTGTCCTCACTCTATTTAAATTTGAATAGGGCAGGCCCTAACCCTCCCCTCACCAGCTCTGGGACACCAGGATCCAAACCTAGCCAATCAGTTTATTCTGTTTCCCTGGTCACAGAGATTGGTTCAGAGAAGACATGTGACCTAACCTAGCGACGTGAGAACCAACCCTGAGCCATTTGGTGCAAGTAGAGAAAAGGGTCCTTTATTTTTGTGACAGCTGCCCAGCTGGTGGGAGGTGAGCCTGGAGCAGATGGGGTTCACCCTGTCACCAGGAAAGAAGAAATGAAAGTCAATACAGAAGGAAGCTGAAATGAAAGTTTGCGAAAAACAGCCTTGACATCAGCATTTGGGTACCTGGAGCCAGCCATTCCTGAACTCCACTTTAATGTCAGAACCATTATGGTCTTTGGGTCATGCCTGTTGTTGTTAAAGATTACTTTATTCATTGACCTTGTGCTTAGATGAGTCTGAGTTGATTTCAGCTGCTTTCACTCAAAAGAATCTTGATAAACAGAGAAAATATCTCCCAAGCTCTGGTGTAGAGGCCTGTGGAGTCAGAAAACAAGAGGCCTAAATTAGAAAGGGCTGCAGGGGAAGCAGTGTCCTACATGAGGAAGCAGGGGCTATGCAAGTCATTGCAGAGAGCCAATGCGAGGGATTTACAGTGCCCGAGGGAAACTGGCACTCGTTAAATACACATCAAAACAGAACTTAAAAATACGGACGGATGCACCAGGCATCTACCATCTAGGTTAGCATTAACTTGGCGGTTCCTGGCAGCTAAGGCAATTGGGGGAGATGTGTCTGCTGAAATGATTTCCAATTTCTGCTGAATGGATTTGTTCTTGTTTGTCTCGAGAAACCAGGTTTGTTCCTGGAACTGAAGTTTAGCAGGGACCTTTCTATTATTAAAATGTAGAGGGATCTGAGCCATCAGGGACTGTGGGAGCTCAGTAGAGGTGCGTCACTCAGCCTGTCAAGTAGTTTTCCTACGGAGGAGACATCTGAATGAATAGGATGAACAGCAGTGAGGAAGGCACAGAGAGGGCCAGGGAAAAGTACTGTGGACAGAAGGAAGAGAATGCAATGGTGTGGAGGCTGGAGAGCTTGGTACCTTGAGGGACCTGAAAAGTAGACCGTGGCTACAACCCGGAGTGTAAAGAGAAGAGGTGGGAGGTGGTGGTGGAGTGGTGCATGCCGGTGAAATCCAACCAGACCTGAGAACTATTCAAGAAGGTTCAGCAATCTCCTGAGGGCACTGGGGAGCCATGGGAGAGTTTGTGGAGCAGGATAGGAACACGATGTGTGCCTTATCAAGATTCCTCTGGTTGCTCTGTGGAGGGTGGATGACGGGATGGGACAGATCAGAGAACCGGATGGAAGCTGGTTGTAAGATGACCAGGGTGAGGGAAGGGGTCACGGGGGAAAGGGGGAGGAGATGGATGGGAGAGGCATTGAGGTTCACCACGACATCGGTATGAAAAGACAAAGCGTGGTACACCCACATCATGAACACTGTCCAGCAAGAAAAAGGACTGAATCGTTGATACACATAGGACATATGTGGATCTCAAGAGAGCAAGCAAATATTGAAAGACAGAGAAGGACTCGGGGACAGTGTCCCCATATGTGCAACTTTCACTGACGTGCATCAAAAACCAAGCTGGACTGATGGTTGGCTACACAGACAGAAATCAGAGAAATACAACACAACGGTAATGGTAGAATCTAGGTGATGTGGTTCATGTTCATCACCATAAAACCTTTCCACTTTTCTGTATCTTTGAAAATGCTCGTGAAGTGGGGCACCTGGGTGGCTTAGTCGGTTAAGCGTCCGACTTTCGCTTAGGTCATGATCTCGCGGTTCATGGGTTCGAGCCCCGCGTCCGGCTCTGTGCTGACTGCCAGCTCAGAGCCTGGAGCCTGTTTCAGAATATGAAACACACTCTCTCTGACCCTCCCCTGCTCACGCTGTCTCTCTCTCTCTCTCTCTCTCCTAGAAATAAATAAAACATTAAAAAAAAAAAAGAAAAAAGAAAATGCTCGTGAAGAAACATTGGGAGAAACAAATGTTAAGGAGCCAGGAGGGGCATGGTTTGGAGATTGATTATTTTGGTTGTGTGGATGAGGTGGTGGGTTTTTTGTTTTTTTGTGTGTTTATTTGTGTTTGTATTTGTGTTTTTTAATATGCTCTGCCTTGGGCAAAAGGGAAGACCCCGTGTTTTCAAGGTGAGTAGAAGCCTTTTCCTGTCCGTCTTCTCTTCTCTCTCCCCTGGATCTCTTTATTCTGCAACACACCCACCCACTCATTCATTCATTCATTCATTCAATTTATCCAACAAATTTCCACGGAGTGACAAACATACCGTTGTAGGCATTAGGGATACAGTGGTGAACAAGGCAGGTCAAGATCTCTCTGACCTGCCTTCATGGAACTTACACTCTATTTGGGCAGAAAGGCTATACAAAGAGACACAAATGAAATATCTAATACATTGTATTGTGACAAGTGCTATAGAGAGATGTAACCCAGAGAATGGAGGGGGGGAGGAGCTATAATTTTAAATAGTTTGGTTATGGACAAGCTTAATGAGAAGGTGACATTTGAGCAAAGACCTGAAGATGAGGGGGGAGGGAACCCTGTGGATTTCTGGGAAAAGAGTGTGCTAAACTAAGAGAACAGCAAGTGCAAAGGTCCTGAGGTTGGACTTGCCTGGTAAGTTCAGGGATCAGCAAGGAGGCCAGTGTGGCTGGGGCAGAGGAATGGGTGGGGAGAGTGGGAGATGAAGTCAGAGAGGTGGGGTAGGGTGTGGGGTGGACAGTGGTGTGGGAAGATCAGGTGGTTTGGGTTACCCTGGACTTTGGCTTTCACTCTGAGGGAGATGGGAGGGTGGGAGGCTTTTGAACAGGGAAGTGGCATCTGAGTTAGGTTTAAATGAAGCCCTCTTTTCCTTCCTTTATATGAAGGACTAACTATAAGCTCTCTAGTTTACAAAACAAACCACCCCCTGAGAGTTATTTTGCTTGTGAATTGATACCTGGGCAGGGATTGGTGTAGGTAGACAGCTGTCTCTGCCCTGCTTGGCCTCGGTGGGGGCTGTGGGCCGGAAGGATCTGGAGCTTCCCCACTCGCCTGGCAGCTGATGCTGCTGTCACCTGGGACCTCATCCGTGGGCTGGGGCTGGAAAGCCTACAAGTGTCCTCTCCACGTGACAGCTTGGGCTTTCTCGCATCATGGCACCTGGGTCCCAAGGGAGAGGAAGAGCGAGCGAGGAAGCCGGCAGAAGCCGCGTCTCCTTTGAGGACCGAGCCCTGAAAGCCATGCAGTGTCACCTCCATGCCCCTTTCTCAAGGGCAGTCACGGGGTCCTTCCCGGCTTTCGGGGGGAAGGGAAGAGCCCCCACTTCCTGATGGGAAGAGGCAAACTTCCACCAGGGAAGAGCGTGAGGTCCTGGAAATATTACTGTGGCCGTTTGCGGGGAATCTGCCGCCCTCTGTTTTTTTTTTTTTTTTAAGTTTATTAATTTATTTTGAGAGAAAGAGAGGCGCGGAGAGGGAGAGAGAGAATCCTAAGCGGGCTCTGCACTGTCAGTGCGGAGCTCGATGTGGGGCTCGAACCACGAACCCTGAGATCATGACCTGAGCCGAGACCGAGACTCAGACACTTACCCGACTGGGCCACCCGGGTGCCACTGTCTCAGGTACATCTGCTCAGACGTCTGACCCCTAGCGTTCACCTCACTCTGTTCACCCTCCCTACTGCCGGAGGAAGGAGGGGGCTGCTCCTAACCTCCCTACAGCGACATCTTGTGATGATTTTATCTCTGCTCTCCTTTCCCGGACCCTGACTCCTAATCCTATGGGTTTCTAAAGGCCAGCTGGCATTCTTGGAACACTACCAGGGGCAAAAAATCCCTCCAAACTCAAGCCGAGACCAACCAAACACCGTACTAAGCCTTTTGTATTCCTGCTCTTACTAGAACATCAAGGCAGCCCCATCAGGCGGGCTCCATTGTTTTCCTCGCATTACCATCCAGGGCTCCGGAGCCCGCCTGCTTCTGTTCAAATCTTGGTTCCA